ATAAACGCCCCTTCCACATTAACAGTAAGTTGTCAAAGACCTTTTGAACACAAGTGTATTACAATGTAAAATGTACTGAGTGAAACCGTTATTCCAGGCTAAGAAATCCAGGTAAACAAATATATTCATTTTTACCCTGTGTAATTATACGTGAAGACATTATCAACAGTAAGCGTCCAGACACTGGGGTTTCCGGACAGACGAGGTTTTACTGTATCATCACAAGTCATTGCTGTATTTACTGGTTCATCTGACTTTATTTCCCTTTCACGTACAGGTGGACTTAAAGCTAGTCTCTCAAATGAAAATGATTTAAGATTAAAAAAAACCCGATCTTTTTTTAATTGTCTTTTAATACATTATCGAAAGGAGCTCATGTAATCTGTTAATGCTCAGCCTAAAGCTGAAGAAATCTAGACTTGCCAAAGAATTGTTGACATGTTGAGTTTTGGATGTTTTTGTCTGTGTGACAGCATTTCTGGTGTCCCCCGATATTGCTGGAATATTGCTAAAAGCGGCGTAAAATCATACTCACTCACTGTATGACTAAGGTACACGCATGCATTAATGTAATACTTAACCAGTGCAATATACACAACTAGAGTTCAAAGTCAGACTTAACTATCACCTACGTTTATTTCATGCATAGGGAACAGTGTTCAAATCAATGTAGTTTCGTTTGATACACATTTTTAGTTGATTACCTTGAATAAAACTTGCTAGTTTTTGTGTGAGCTCGTGGTCTAACGGTCCGCGACCTAACCTTGCTACACGTCACTATTGAACGATAAGTCCATGGATGTATAATAATTCTAACGTTATTATAGGCAAGTCTAGATAAGCGGACAGTACAAAGACACCACACTTTTATGGAGACAACTTGTTCTTAGTATTTAGATAATCTAAAAAATATGATTTAAACTAATACTCATTGCTTCGGGACTTATGCAAGTCTATACGCGACCCTCCAAGGCATGTCTAAAGGTCACGGGAAACGTTTGGTCCGGATATCTTAACCTGCATCGTTCCGCTCATTGTGAGCTGTGAATCAGCTCGTGACATCTTCAACTTAATGTCACAACGGAATTCTTCACATATCGGTCACAATCCACAGGAAACGGCTGTATCCGATCTTAAGAGACGTTACGCATGACCTTGTAAACAGCGACGTCCGATTGCGCACTCCGAACAACGTCTCTGGCAGACCTCGGCTCTCTTGCCCGGATTGAACACAGGAAACGATGAATTAAATGTTTATGTCTAAGGCTATGTCGTGCTCGAATGTATTGCTTAACTTGTAAACAGTTCGGTGAGATTTGTTAACACAGAAAAGCCATTAGAAGATAAATGATATTGTGAAAGATACTGTCTGTCTCAAGAGGACAGCCTGGCGTCGTTTTTATTTGGTTTTATCGAAACGGTTTTCCTTTTCTGCAAAAACGCAACAACGATAGGAAACGTATTCTATTTTATCTTTTTATCTTGAAATCTCAAATGTCAGTAAAGCGCGTGGAGTAGTAACCGACATTGGCATTTCGTTCCTAGGAGCCACATATCTCATTTCTGTGTCTTCAGGACCGCCACTTGGTTTGGTGGATAGAGCGTCTCCTCGAAAGGCGGAAGGTCGGTGGTTCGAACCCTTGGCCGCATTATATATCGAAAGACTTTAGATGACTTCTGTTGACCCTGACGCTCGACATTCAGAGGATAAAACAAGGACTGACCTGCTCGGAGTCAGTATATATATGAAAAGCATCTATCTATCTATCTATCTATCTATCTATCTATCTATCTTTATTCTGTGGCTGAGTGGGGTACCCATGTTCAATCTATCTATAAATCTATCTATCTATCTAGAACAAGCAGCCACACACACGTGCATACACGTCAGTATATATATGAAAAGCACAGTAAAGTTCTAACTCTCAGGCACAATATAAATTTAGTAAAAATTAAATAAGTGGAGTGCTATCTATCTATCTATCTCTCTATCTATCTCTCTATCTATCTATCTATCTATCTATCTATCTTTATTCTGTGGCTGAGTGGGGTACCCATGTTCAATCTATCTATACATCTATCTATCTATCTATCTAGAACAAGCAGCCACACACACGTGCATATAATATGAATAAGTGAAATAATCCGCGACGTTAAACCTCATTTCACCTGTGTGTACAAGGCTTTAGATTGAACACTCGTGCCGACATGATGGATCGATATTGATAATTACTTTATCATTAAATATTTTTTTCACAGAATTATGACGTGCAGCATTGTTGTAGGGACTGATGAAGTAAATGTGACATAAACTTGGAATTCTGAAACTACACAACTGCAGAACGCATTCACCCGATGGCTAACGATAGGGCCACAGATGCAAGTGTTTGTTAGGTAGCCAGCACCCTACTGGTTATCAATGGCGGTGACTGCTTTGGAACATGTTCGGTTCGGTGACGTTGTTGATTACGAGTCATCGTTCCACGATATTATTTGACCCAGTATTGCCGAAATTGGCCTCAACACAAAATTCATGTATTTACAAGAAGAGCGCCACCAACTGCCTCCCAACAAATCGACACAAACAAATTTAGACTTCATGTCGAGTAATCAGAAGTTTCGAGCTGTACGTGACCCATGACAATGATGATAATAGAGACCTTTAAGGGTGTCACCGATATTCAGCATAAATCTAGACGTTGTGATGTCTGCCTTGTTTGAAACAACGTCTGTATGTAAGTAGGAACTTTAACTGCCAGATTGGTATTTTGTTTTGATTCATAAAATTTGACTCAGCAGATAAACAAAGTGGTTTTGGTACGACTGAAATTGAACTGTCTGGGGTTGCCTCCTTTACTTCACCTTCCCGTTTGAGAAAAAAGAAATAACATGTGTTTCGAGTTCAAGAATAGTTTTATGACCAGAGTTTACGATGCAGTTACGAACTGTGCACAGGTGTTACAGCGTTATGGTTGTTCATTCACGTGCCATGCAGGTTCAGGTAATCTGAAGGTTAATTAAGCTAATAATAATGTTAGTTTCCCACGCGGTGATAAAATTATACAATCTTAATATGCGTCACGCCATCTCTCGCTTGCTGTGCGGATACATGCAGTGGATTCCATGCGATAGAGAAGAAGAGTGCGTCAGCTAGTCCTGATAAGGATCCTCATGCACAAAACGATCTTAGCTTACGACGATCGTAACGTCCATACTTTCATATCGACTTACGATAGATGTAGCGCTAAGATGGCTTTGTGCAAGAGGGCCCGGGGCCATTTGCACAAAGCAATCTTAGCTCTAAGGCCATTATAAGTCTATGTTAAAGTATCGGACTTAAGATGGTTTCAGCACTAAAATCGCTTTGTACAAGTGGGCCCAGGTCTCTTGCACTCCCCATTACACTGACTGACAATGAAGCGCGATCGGTATCCCGCGAATACTTAAACCGTCCTTGAATAAATGTCTGGTGAACAAAAGCTGGTGTAACGTTAGATGGACAAAGAGACTTGGAACAAACTAGATGCAAACGCCGCTCTGAAAAATTAGTTTTTTAAATATACGACTGTCCTGAAAACGCCTGGAAAAAATGAAAACAAATTTGATGCAAACGTTTCTCTGAGGAGAAACTGCCTGCTTCGAATTAACGTCGGACCTGAGGACCCTCTAAAATGAATTCTTGACGCTTATTTAACGATTTAACCTACATCATATGCGATTATGGGAAGTTGATTATCAGCATGTAATAGTATACTTATAGTGGAGAGTTAACGATTTATCTCCAACTGTACCTATACGCAGCGCCTGTATTGAAAAACGTAACGTCATTAAATGACGTTTGCAGCTGAAAGACTTCACGAGCTCATGCGCAACGTAACGGTTATCGCAATATTTTTCAATAGACATGTCGAACCGCTCTGGTTAGCAAAAATAAAATCAATGACTTTATCACCTGGTAGTCGGCAGATAATATACCAGACCTGATCTATTCACCACGTTCATGGGATACAGTAAATACACCCTTCCATTCATGCTGCCAATCGTCGACAGGGCGGCTACACACAATTCATTCACACTCTCTCGAATAACCGCGATCTCTGACCTACAGCGTTTCCATATGTCGCTACTCAGAACAAACGGTACATTTCCACACAGTTAATATTGATCATAACTTAAACCATTTTGCGCGTGGTAATGTTTTTTTTAGTTTCAACGTTCGCCAACAGATGGCGTTGAGAATGACGACTTAAGGGGTGATTAGATGATCACTTGATTCTCCTCGCGCCCACATGTCGGGGTAGGAGATCGCAAAATGATAACACGGCTGAAATTATCCTTCGTCCCTTGATGCTTCCAGGCATTTTCTTTATGTAAAGGAAAATATGAAAAAAACAAAAGAAAGCTAGAAGCAAGAAGCCCCTAACAGATGCGTGCTCGCTACTCTGACTCGAGGAAATTGTTGGCATAAATCTTATTTTCTTTCAACCTTATCACCATGTCGCAATAAAAGATAGATTTCTTTCACGCATATTTAATGCTCAGAAAGAATATTGAAGTGTGTATGTTTATGTCTTACAGTAACAGCGACTCGTGAACATTATGTTTATCGATTAAATTAAAAGATAAGATTTAGGTTTTGTTAACGATGTTATGAAATGTTAAGTACCACGTTAATTAGCTTTAACGAAACAACGAAGAGGGAATATGTTTCTTTACTATGTTGCTTAAATCTTTAAATTAAATTAGTGTCACTTATTTGTTGAAAAATCAACTATTTAGTACCTATTTGCCTGAATATCTAAAAGAGAACGATACAACCTAAAACATGACATTTTAAAGGAAAATATATTTGCTTGTTATAAAATATATTTTTTTCGTTGCATTAAGTACTGACATGTTCAATGCATTAAACTGTAGTAAATCCCGCAAATTTAAAACAATCCAGTAAAAACGATTAAATTAAAAGAATTATCTGAAAAATGAATAAGTTCATAACTTACTTGTTGAGATTTGAAAAAAATGATCCGATGATTTACATCCAACAATTGACAAAGTGGTGGAATATTGTCCCTCCGTTGATCAGTGTTTATGTATCAAGTTGTCAAGGAAGACTGTTTCAAGCCTGTCGAACTCGGCAATAAATAGATCCAAGCTGCAACACTGGCTGGGCGAGTCCACTAATTACAGTTTTTAGCGGCATGCTACTAAACCTCGTGCTGTGAAGGGAGGTGTGTCTTCGATGGATGGACTGTGCGCCTCCGCACGTTACCCTACCAACTGTTCTGAGTCGACGCGCGGTTCTACGCTGACATGCGCACTGCATTGCCTCTTATCTGCGCATCAATTGAAATGAAGTGTTTTAGACTTGTCTATCAGTTTACAAAGTTTAGAGTGCTATGGGTCGGTTGTTGGAAGCCAAATCATTTCCTACGGCTAATTAAAGAGCCGCAATTGACGGACCCAGCTCAGTGGGTTTAATTGCCCCTTGCATGATGCACTCCTGGATCGACGAAGGTCGTGCATAGCGCAACGTCTTAAGTTCTATTTCTCAGATGCCCTGAGATAGTTTAACCGCTTTGACCTCAGTAATGAAATGGAGTACGTATCTATAAATCGCGTCACACTTCTGTAGTGGTCTATGTGATTTGTGCACACAGCTACACCCATTCTTTAAGTGGTGACGTAACACGAACACTAGAACGTCTACGTAACAGTGGGGTGAATAGGTGCAAGTCAGGTGGAGGCAGGTTGCATGTACGTGGCATGTACATGGCATGTACGTGAGAGACTTTACACGTGCACTTGTCACAGACCATAGACATGAACTTGTCAGAGACTATATATGAACTTGTCAAAGACTATACATGAACTTGTCAAAGACTATACATGAACTTGTCAAAGACTTTACATGAACTTGTCAAAGACTTTACATGAACTTGTCAAAGACTATACATGAACTTGTTTGAGGCTATACATGAACGTGTCAAAGACGATACATGAACTTGTCAAAGACTATACATGAACGTGTCAAAGACTATACATGAACTTGTCAAAGACTATACATGAACGTGTCAAAGACTATACATGAACTTGTCAAAGACTATACATGAACGTGTCAAAGACTATACATGTCCTTGTCAGAGACTTTACATGAACTTGTCACAGACCATATACGTGAACTTGTCAAAGACTGTATACATGAACTTGTCAGAGACTGTAAAGATGAGATGAGATGAAACTGGGTTTAACGTCGCGTCCAAGATTGTAGTTCTTTATTTCACATACTGAAGAGGCCACAGGCCTATAGTACAAGTTGAAGAATATACAGTTTTATACAATTTATGTACCTATCTCACCAGATCACCTCACGTCATTCCACCTCGCATTTCAACGCAGTCACATAATTTCACACATTCAGTACAATACCATACCCTGTAATTTCATAATTTCTATATTACCATATCACAACTTGTTATATCATACAACATATCTATAACATCATATCATATTGTATCATTATTATAAGATCATACTATATAGTATTATTTCATATAACATTATCATAACATACTATACATACCATCGTACCATATATCACAACTATATTGTATCACATTTCAACATGCCATATCACACAACACATTAGCAATGTCAAAGCTTGTCCCATCATATCTTATCATATCATACCATATAATGCCATGTCATTCCATGCCAATTTATTTCATATCAATCAATCAATATTTATTCAACATTGGAAGACCGCAAGCCATATAATATGTACACTAAAAAACAGTATTTACACAATTTCTATAATACACATAATATATTGCATCATATCCCCTCATGTATCATATCACACCACATCACTTCATATCATATCACATCATGTCATGTCACATCATATCATTTCATATACATATAACTATACTTAACCATTTGTAATATCACGTCCCACAATATCATATGACAGCCTAGTAGTTTAATACCATTTCTAACTCTTTTGTTTGTAGTTTATTCAGATAGCAAATATCTATAAATATGTACTTAATGTATATACACAATAGTTTCCTAATACCAAGCAGCTAAGATTATTCTTTCATAAGGTTCTGTCGGTATAAAGAGGCATAATATATGAACATGGACACATTTTGTAAGATACATCTTTTTGTGTTTGACAGCAATGTAACAAATTTAATAATATTAGGGTACCTGTAATACCTGCGTCCAAGATTATTGCACTCATATAGCGTCGTGTGTGTGTGTGTGTGTGTGTGTGTGTGTGTGTGTGTGTGTGTGTGTGTGTGTGTGTGTGTGCTGCTTGTACTAGTCCGGACTGATGCCGATTTATAGTGCTAGCCCACTGAGATACCATGCCGCAGTTTAACATGAATACCCCAGTCAGACACAGTATACTGACTCCGAGCCGACTTGTCCTTATTTAAGCCCCTTAATGCCGAGCGCCAGACAGGGTAACAACAAGTACCATCTTTTACAGTATGACGCGGCCGGGGATCGAACCGCGGACCTTCCGCTCTCCGGGCGGACGCTCAACCACTCGACCACGGAGGCGGTCTCAGGCACTGTATACATGAACTTGTCAGAGACTGTATACATGAACTTGTCAGAGACTGTATACACGAACTTGTCAAAGACTGTATACATGAACTTGTCAGAGACTATATACATGAACTTGTTAGAGACTATATACATGAACTTGTCAGAGGCTTTACATGAACTTGTCAGAGACGATACATGAACTTGTCAAAGACTATACACGAACTTGTCAAAGACAGTACATGAACTTGTCAGACATGAACTTGACAGAGACTATATACATTAACTTATCAGGGACTATACATGAACTTGTCAGAGACTATATACATGAACTTGTCAAAGACGATACATGAACTTGTCAGAGACTATATACATGAACTTGTCAGAGACTATATACATGAACTTGTCAAAGACTATACATGAACTTGTCGAAGACTGTATGCATGAACTTGTCAGAGACTATACATGAACTTATCAGGGACTATACATGAACTTGTCAGAGACTATATACATGAACTTGTCAAAGACGATACATGAACTTGTCAGAGACTATATACATGAACTTGTCGAAGACTGTATGCATGAACTTGTCAGAGACGATACATGAACTTGTCAAAGACGATTCATGAACTTGTCAGAGACTATACGTGAACTTGTCAAAGACTATACATGAACTTGTCAAAGACTATAAATGAACTTGTGAAAGACTATACATGAACTTGTCAGACATGAACTTGACAGAGACTATATACATGAACTTATCAGGGACTATACATGAACTTGTCGAAGACTGTATACATGAACTTGTCAGACATGAACTTGACAGAGACTATATACATGAACTTATCAGGGACTATACATGAACTTGTCAGAGACGATACATGAACTTGTCAAAGACGATACATGAACTTGTCAGAGACTATATACATGAACTTGTCAGAGGCTATACACGAACTTGTCAAAGACTATATACATGAACTTGTCAGAGACTATATACATGAACTTGTCAGAGACTATATACATGAACTTGTCAGAGACTATATACATGAACTTGTCAGAGACTATATACATGAACTTGTCAAAGACGATACATGAACTTGTCAGAGGCTATACATGAACTTGTCAGAGACTATATACATGAACTTGTCAGAGACTATATACATGAACTTGTCAGAGACTATATACATGAACTTGTCAGAGACTATATACATGAACTTGTCAGAGACTATATACATGAACTTGTCAGAGACTATATACATGAACTTGTCAGAGACTATATACATGAACTTGTCAGAGACTGTATACATGAACTTGTCAGAGACTATATACATGAACTTGTCAGAGACTATATACATGAACTTGTCAGAGACTATATACATGAACTTGTCAGAGACTATATACATGAACTTGTCAGAGACTATATACATGAACTTGTCAAAGACTATACATGAACTTGTCAGAGACGATACATGAACTTGTCAGAGACTATATACATGAACTTGTCAGAGACTATATACATGAACTTGTCAGAGACGATACATGAACTTGTCAAAGACTATACATGAACTTGTCAAAGACGATACATGAACTTGTCAGAGACTATATACATGAACTTGTCAGAGACTATATACATGAACTTGTCAGAGGCTATACATGAACTTGTCAAAGACTATACATGAACTTGTCAAAGACGATACATGAACTTGTCAGAGACTATATACATGAACTTGTCAAAGACGATACATGAACTTGTCAGAGACTATACATGAACTTGTCAAAGACTATACATGAACTTGTCAGAGACTATACATGAACTTGTCAAAGACTATACATGAACTTGTCAGAGACTATACATGAACTTGTCAGAGGCTATACATGAACTTGTCAAAGACTATACATGAACTTGTCAAAGACTATACATGAACTTGTCAAAGACGATACATGAACTTGTCAGAGACGATACATGAACTTGTCAAAGACTATACATGAACTTGTCAAAGACGATACATGAACTTGTCAGAGACTATATACATGAACTTGTCAAAGACGATATATGAACTTGTCAGAGACTATACATGAACTTGTCAAAGACTATACATGAACTTGTCAAAGACGATACATGAACTTGTCACAGACTATATACATGAACTTGTCAGAGACTATATACATGAACTTGTCAGAGACGATACATGAACTTGTCAAAGACTATACATGAACTTGTCAAAGACGATACATGAACTTGTCAGAGACTATATACATGAACTTGTCAAAGACGATACATGAACTTGTCAGAGACTATACATGAACTTGTCAAAGACTATACATGAACTTGTCAGAGACTATACATGAACTTGTCAAAGACTATACATGAACTTGTCAAAGACTATACATGAACTTGTCAGAGGCTATACATGAACTTGTCAAAGACTATACATGAACTTGTCAAAGACTATACATGAACTTGTCAGAGGCTATACATGAACTTGTCAAAGACTATACATGAACTTGTCAAAGACTATACATGAACTTGTCAAAGACGATACATGAACTTGTCAGAGACGATACATGAACTTGTCAAAGACTATACATGAACTTGTCAAAGACGATACATGAACTTGTCAGAGACTATATACATGAACTTGTCAAAGACGATACATGAACTTGTCAAAGACTATACATGAACTTGTCAAAGACTATACATGAACTTGTCAGAGACTATACATGAAC